TTGGGCCCCCACAACAAAAAAGACAACACCGGTCCCAATATTTTCCCCATTTTTACAAAAAAAAAAAAAAAAAAAAAAAAAAAAAAAAAAAAAACTGTACTTCAAGCACCTGATCTGATGCTTCAGCTCTTAAACATGGCTGCATGTTTGTTATTTGAAATCTATTTTGGTAAATTTGTAAGACTTTATTAGGCCTTTTGAATTTGAGTTTTATTTGTTGGCACAACTCGTCATCTCCAAATTCTTTAACAACAACATTGTTTAGGAGGCGCAGTTTGTCCCCACAGTTTTTACAATTACTGTTACTCTTAAGTAAAAGGAGGAAAAAAATGAGGAAAAGCACTTTACGCCTCTCTCCATCCATTTCTGTAATGTTTTCCTCAGCCAGAGTGAGATTGTGAGAACGTCACTGATATAAAGAAGAAAAATGCTTCTGCTGGATGCTCACAGTTTAACTCTCTAATGTCTAATTTGTGAGAAAATTACACTGCAAGTTTACTTCACGATCAAAATGGTGATTAAAACATTAAACAAAGATATTAACACAGCACTGAACCTTTTAGTTTAAATTTTGACAAATTCCAAGTGTTTTGATTACATTAATGTGGAAGTGCCCATCCTACGAGGTTTTAAATGAAACGGGAAAGAAGCACACAGATGCCAGGCATCTGTGTGTGAGTGTTTAGCATTACTTACACTGTCCACAGCCAGGATTTTGGCCCAGATGAACACCAGCAGCGGCCGCAGCTCCCTGGCTGAACTCTGGAGCAGCTTTAACACATATGGGAAGATCCCAACAGACAGGGCCTGCAAGGTCCACAAACAACACAGCACCGGTGCTTACAGGGCAAAGTCATGTGGCATCTCAGCAAACAGACAGAGTGAGGATAGAATAAAGCTGAATCAGGCAGAAGACTGGATCTGATTTAAGTGTTGAGATGTTATCACTTTCTACAATGCTCTTTTACACATATATTTTTTAAATAAATAAAAAATAGAGGTTGGGACAGATCACAAAGCCATGATCTCAATCCTATGGAGAAGCTATTGGTAGAACTGGAAAGGTGTGGGTGAGTGACCAAATGGACTCAGTTACAAAGGTTCTGTCAGGAGGAATGGACCAGAACTCCAGTAAAGTATTGTGAGACGCTTGTGGAAGGAAACCCAGAGGGTCTGACCCGAATTATAAAGTTTAAAAAAACGTTATTTCCTGAAACTGGCCAAATGCATGTGAACTTCTGAAATCAATAAACTTACAAAAAAAATCTCTAAAAATGTTCTTGCAACGTTTTCTAGCATTTAGCATGAAGGGGATTTTTAATTCTTAATATGTCACCAGTAACAAAATGTTGTTTGTAAACCAAGTGAGCTGATCGCATATTTTGGTTTTACTTCATCTGAAGCTCACGTTTCGTTCTTCAGACGATAATTATTCGACTGTCCAGAGTTTGTGTTTGTTTTATTGCACTGTTGTTTAAATCTTTCAAACCATTTTGACAGATTTTAAAAATGATGCAGTTATTAATATGGTGAAACATATTTTTACGGTTTCAAATTGTATAAACTACCTTTAACATTCAGGGTTTGACTAGTCACTTAGCAGTGTCAAAACGATATATAAAAGAGGCGAACGAACCAGACTGACGGCCCAGGGCCCCAAATCCAGGAACCGCCCGAGCAGGTCCAGAGCCCTCAGCCGATGCACTTGACTCAGGAGAACCTGAAAGGCAGGAAAACAGATCAGAGGCAATCTGGGTTTGCCTACAAAACCGGAGGGAAGTCTGAGATTAAAGGAAGAGGAAGAGCAGCAGGGAAGATGGCAGAGAAGGTGGGTTGGAACAGGTGGCGTTCCCACCACTACCAGAACCAGAACCATCACTGAGTGTGTGGGCATGCCTGTGTGGGCAGCTGGGTGTGTCCTTCTTGGCTGCCATTTCATTTGGATGCTTACAGAGGTATCGGAGTGTGACATCATCTGAGTGGGCGCTTTAACTCACCTGCGTTCATATAATGAAATACCGCTGCCAACTGGGAATAATTTAGAAATCTGTTGCAGCCACACAGGACTATTTATAGGATGCATATGGCAGATGCTAAAAATACATAAACGCTTGTGTTTGCAAAGACTATTGCAATGCAGCATTAAAGTCTGTGTGAAGGCAGGACGCCGGAGCGTCTCCATGTGACTTTCACAGTGTGTGTGGGAACAAGCATATGGAGGACCGCAGACTCACACAAGCATCTCCTCCTACACACGACGCATGAACAGAATCCTCGGGGGGGGACATCGACCTGCATGCGTGACCGCAGAAACAGGAGGAGGCTGGGGGAAGACCGGAGCACGTCTGCCTCCAGCCCCGAGGAGGAGCGTGGGAACGTCCGCGCTCGTGTGTTTTTACGTGACGTAGGCGCCGCAGAAAAGCCACAGGGCAACAACCCGACCCAAGCCTCTGCTGGTATGAGCGCAATCCAACTAAATCCATATCTTTCTTCCATTCTCATCATCACCGACTACATTTGGTGTGCATTATTCATAGAGCAGAAGGCCTGGAAGGGATGGAAATAAAGTCCCAGATCAACACTGCAACACAACAGAGAACGTGAGTGTGTTTTTACCGCCGCAATATCTTCACCTCACTCTGATTAGCAAGCGGTGAGTAAGCGCTCCCTCCTGTTCTCCTGTGTCTGAGCACCGATGCGCGTCATGTTGCAGTGCCTCGTACAAATATTCACACCCCCCAAAACTTTTTCACGTTGTGTCAAATTCCAAGTTCAAAACCTCGTTGGTCTTAATGAGACGTGTCGACACAAAGCAGTGCATATCATTATTGTTTTTTTTTTTTTTTTTTTTTTTTTTCAGAAAACCACCGAAGTTTTTTAAGTTTTGGGGGAAAATGGTTTAAATACAAAAAAATAAGAAATTT